AATTCTATATTTAATATTTTAAAATTAAATATAGAATTAAATAAAATAATTAAAATTATAAGCTTTAATAATATAAAAAATTTAAAAGTTAAATTATATTTTTTATTTTTCATTATTTTTATATTATATATATAAAGCTTTTTATTTAATTTTAAAATAAGAGTATTTTTTCCTTAATATTTTACCATATATTTTTACAATAAGGGGGGCGCAGACTTTTAGCACCTTACTGTAGCTAGGTAGCACGAGCCCGACCCACTCGACCGACGTGTAAGCTATTAAAGCAAAAAAAGTCTGGTACCAGGAGACAATACAATTGTCCACTCTTTCTCCGCCCCCAATAGTAGCATACACGCCCCTGGGATAAACGTGGCCTTGTTTGCAACGCAGGCTTTGCTCGGGTACCAGGAGTCCTTTAAAGCCCCTTCGTCTCGGATATCTGCAAGCATTCCTTGGCCCCCCCGTTGCAAGTCGACATCGGGCCGCACATGAAACGACGAGATCTATCTCTGCCGCGTCTTTACAGAGATGGGGTCCTGTGAGCTGAGCAAAAAGCCTGGAACATCGGCACAATGTCGAGCCTGCTGCGTGTAAGCAGGCAGCTGTTTGGGTGTCTTTGCCTGTGGGAGCGGGTGGTGCTTCCGCCGACGGGGAGGCTGTTTTGCGTCTGGTGTGTGGATGAACAAGCGTAGGGCACCGGGCGATGAGGCTGCTTCTTTTGGCTCGACAAGGAGGTGGATGGGTTCGTGGCATGGAACATGATGACATCTGATGCGAAGAAAGAGACCAAGCACCTAGGAATGGCACCGGCCTTCAGTGATCGCCTGGCGATCTGCACCAGATCCCCCTTTCCCCCCCGTCCAGCAGAATCCAGGGTTCATCCGTATTATTCACCAAATGGCCGAAACGGCGTCAAGGCCACGCGGATCCCCTCAAAATAGTAAACAGCCGAACCGTCCGGCTAGGAATAGTCAAGATGGAGATATCTCAAGCATGCAGATTCAAAATGTGTAAAGTCCACAGACTACCGTGCCAATAGAACAATCCCACCAAACCCAACATCAGTGCCATCACATCTGACAGCAAATCCTCACCCTTGGTTCAACAAGTGAAGCCCTCGCGCCTGCTCGTCCGTCGCCCTCGCCGGCGTCGAGGCATGAAGCTTCACCGTCTGGATTGGCGCCAGCAAATCCGGCGACAAGAGGCACTACTTCAGCAGCGAGGGGTCCAAGATGAAGAGATTTCGGATCCAGGGGCGCAAGGAGCTGCCTGTTACGGGTGGCGAGCTCGATTGCAACATCTGCACCCATGATCCAAGCTAAAAAGGGGCGTATTCCTTTGGGTGCAGGACCAAGGCGGCAAGACATCATGCATGCAAGTGTACGATATCATGGGGTGGATGGTACATGGTGACGGTTTATATGTTGGCCATGTAAATGGTCGTTGCATTCTATTATCATTGTCTAGACTTGTCGTATACTTCTGCCAAGGCGGGCAACGTGGCCACTGTACGACCTCTGATGTTCCGTAGAACAAACCTGCAACATGAGCCATAACCGTGATCCTTGAGTTAATTATTACAATCGCCAATTGATTGCAAAATTATAGATTTGGACATCCACGGGCTGATCAACCAAGACGCCGCCCCAACTTGGGGTTTCGACTCCACCTAGAACCTGAACGCCTACGACCAATTTCATGAATTTTTGCATCCACGCCCAACGGTACACCCTGCCCAGGTCATCATAGGTAGCCTCGCGGACTTCGAGACCGGCTTCGGGCCCCGTAGCTGTCATGACTGCGGCTGCGGCTGCGTCGTCTGTCATTGTCGTCTTCGAATCTTCCTCCCCCTCCCCCTCCCCCTCCGCCTGCGCCGCTCCCACCACCACCTCGTCGCCTCGGTCCGGGTGACCTTGACCGAGAACGAGACGAGTATGAAGCATTAGATCTGCTGCGGTATCGGCCGCCGCCGCCACGGGAAGGAGGAGCTCCTGGAGATCTGGACGGCGAGCGTGACAAGGGTCTGTACACATCCGATCTGGGACCATATCGACTAGATGGAGAGCCGCGACGACGACCGCCGCCAGCGTTGAATCCTCCTCCACGTCCGGGCGGACCGGCACCACCTCGAGGGCCCGACATGGGAATTCGAGGATCAATGTTGGCGCCCCTGCGGGCTGTTGGGGGCGGCGGCGAGAGTTTTCGCCGTGGCAGCACAATCGACACGTTGATGGTGGCACCGTCGACTTGAGCTTCGTGCATGTGCGAGATTGCGGCTTCTGCGTCGGCTTCGTGGTCAAATAAGATGTAGGCGGTTCCTCGGTTTGTTCCAACTTTGGGAGCAAGTTAGTGCAAGTTCTGGAAGTTCTTTGAGATATAGGAGAGAAAAAAAAAGGAGAGAGAGAGACACGTACAAGTTCTGTTCATGGGCAGATCAAGATCCTTGATGGGGCCAAACTGGCCAAATATCTCGTGGAGGTGATCCTCGTTGATATTCTTGGACAAGCGTTCCACGACAATCTGCAAGCAAGGTTAACATTCCGGTTCCAACACCAGACGAGCGCCAACGTTTCTGAGCCGACCTTTGTGCTTCTTGCTAATGGAGACTCACTGGCCTCTCTGCTATCTCTTCCGCGGCCTCGACTCCAGCCTTGACTGTCGCTTCGGTACCGCCCGTTGCGACGAGGCGGCGGGGTTATAGGCGACGGACTGCGCGAGTCGTAGCGGCGTCGTCGGGGAGAGCGCGAATCATCAGAGCGCGAGGACATGGAGCGCGTCAGAGATCTCTGACGGCCCCGCGAAGGGGACCGAGAACGCGATGCCATGGCAATTCACGTGGGTTGCGCCTTTCAATCAGACCAAGTGCACTCGTTGACAGAGCACATGATGGAAGGCTGAAGCTTTTATCGTGGGTGGATCTTGCCATTGGCCTGCTCGCAGGTGTCAAGCTCTCTACGCCAGTGTTTGGCAGCTGCAAGGCATCCTCACGTGATCGTGCTAGCTTGGCCCGCCTCAACGCCGTTGCCAAGTGAGCTTTCGCCAACAATTGATATCTACCCGTCAGCGACTAAGTGGACGAGCCACTTAGTCGCTGACGGGTAAACCTTCTTGACTTGATATATATCACGCCCAAGCCAGTGACTAGACCTTTCACTTTACGAATCAAGGTTTGAACTTATACTTGGCTGCACATTGCCAGTGTCGTGAAGCTCGTTGGTTATGGTTGATAGATGCAGATTCTCCTCGCCTTAGCTGTGATGTCAAGTCCAGACTCTCGTGCCCGTCTCTGTAATATGATATCATAGAACTGATTTGTGCCTTTCCTGACTGCGTTCTTGACCGTATGAACCAAAGTACGCATGAATTTAGCCGAGGCAAGGGAAAAATGGGGACATGGTCCTGACGCCGAGTATGCTCTAGTGCTTTAATGTCGGTGCCCTTGCTACCCAAGACAGTTTTGAGAGTACCTAAAATCTATAAGCCTTGGTTGATGGGCTATTTCAGAAAGCCTTCAAGGCGAGGGTGGTTAGTAAAAGTCCACTCTGGCCTTGAAAGTGTCGGCGCAGTCATGGGCGACTTACTGGTCGTCGCTCTATGCCATGTACTTTGTCCGAGTCTCTTGACTGTGGTGCGGATTCATGTTCTTTTGCTTTAAGAGATACACGACCTCGAAATAGGCAAGCGTCTCGAGTTGTCGGAGCGGTTTACAGGTTGTATCGCTCTTGATCTGAGAACCTGGTGGCGAACACGAGGAATCTAGTGGTGTAATGATCGATGATAGAAACTAAGTCCGGGGTGTAGCTGGCCGGTGGGCTTCTTGTTTCTCTAGAAACGGCCTAAGGCGAGCTTGACCTTGGCGAGGTTGGCGCGGGATAGGATAATATTGCCTGCCGAGGAGCAGTTAGTACTGCCACATTGACCCAGCTCTCATTACTACCCGATGGTTATTTTGACGAGTACACACCACACCTGCTGGGTTTCGTGCATCTCATACGCCGTCAAGGTCGGTCACAGCTCGTAGTGTTGACACAGTCAACGTAGTCGACAGCAGATATGTCAAAGTTGCAAAGATACCAGCGAATGGTCGTTGCAAGAAAAGGAGAGCATGAACTACATTGGTTCGCTGTTGATTCCTTGAGCGGGGTGCAACGTTTCTGCCGTCATCTGGCTTTACGAAACGATCATTAGTGCCAGGATAATTCCAGTAGAAATCAACGCTATCAAGGGTGTATTATTTTTGAATCATGGCTTATTAGTTCGTTACTTACACAGTAATACTGCATCAGCTTTCTTCTTCTTAGTGTACCTAGACACAGGTACAGGATTATACTATGAATCATATAAAGCTCCTACAACATTAGCATGAGTAGTAAGTGCAATAATTTTAATTATTGCACGATTAGGCCCCAACACTTTGAGTTACGTGTAGAGCGTACCAATCACCTACCCGCAAAGAAGACCGCGGATATTACACCTGCCAGAACTGTCGAGGTGCTCTGCCATATACTTTCCATAAACTGGAGTAAATTACATATGAGAATCGCCTGATTTGTTGAAGCCCCTGGTAGCTATGTAGACGCGGGCTGCGTTGCAACTCAGTCAGCGCTGATGATCCTACCGCCAATCGATACGGTAGTCTTTAAGTCGGGGGCTATTGCTCTTGATGCCGGTCTGAAAACAGGTTTTGGCCGACTTCATTCATGGGGACTATATAAAAGCTGCCCGGAGCAATGTGGGCAAATGAGGAGCACAGCCAAGCAAGCGCATTGACAGTGCACTAATAGGAATCTGGCTCATAGACATGCTATCATAAGCCTCGTCGACGCAGGCTGTTTACAGCTGCTTTGACACGTCGTGTTGTGGGTTATTGGCCACATTAGAGGACTCAGTTGGCATTCATGTTACAGGGGCTGAATAGGCTGCAGAGCTGTTGACCGATGGTTGAATAAGATGAGCAACCAGACGGCTATATACTATCGTGAACTGACTGAGATTCAACAAAGCCTGTGACAAGGGCTCAGTGAGGGTTTGGAGCAATAACTCGATTCATCTAATAGCAGTTTTTGGTATCAGAGGTCCTTGGTTTTCCTCAAGGCCTCGGGGATTCAAACGTCTCTGTAAATGCAAGAAGTCGGTGAGGGCCTCCTGCCCTAGGTCCCGTGATCGTAGCCCTCGCGTAACCGTGTGACAGAGCCTCATGACTTGGCAGAGCATTGACAAAAAAACTACACTACATGTAGTTTTTTAGTGTAGTTTTTAGTGTAGTGTAGTTTTTGTAGTTTTAGTGTAGTTTAACTACACTATAACTACATTTGTAGTGTAATGTGTAATTATAAGGGCTTTAAAAGTAGACTTATAAGCTTATAAAAATAACCAAAAAATACTATAATTTTAGCTTATTATAATGCTATAAAAATATCCTTTATAAGTTAATTAATAAGTAAGATATTTACGAATATAGTAAATACAAGTGTATTGTGTATTGTATTTTATATTGTATTGTATTTTCATGTATTGTATTTAAATACATTACATTACATAACTAAAATACCTATAAA